TTTAACATTGTTAACATCCAGTGTATTTTAGCCAGAATTTCTTTATTTCTTACCTGTTGTTATTAGTTGCCTTCAAGTGGATTGAAACTCATGGCAACCTGATGTGTGCAGGGTAGAACTACTCTATTAGAGTTTTCTTGCCTAGGCAAGAAAAATCTAATTTTTCTTTGAATTTCATTTAGAAGAGCTAGTCCTTTTTGGATCCTACAGTACATTAATATAACATAAATATAGATGTTGTGTACCCTGATGAAACTATATCAGAAGCTAACTGAGTGACTAATTGCATCTTTGATTTGGGGCAAATGCAAACTGAAGAACTGATTATTTTTAATGTTACATTCAAATATATATATATGTATATATGTATTTGTGATGTTATATTTAAATGTGTAAATACGACCTGAAATTTTTTACAATCCAACTTTCTAAAAACAATTACGTCTAGAGCCGTTTCTTTTTAAAAAATGAGAAATAGCCATAATTCAAATAACCATGAATGCTATAGTTTGCTTAGTCAGAAATGCAGGTATTTAAGTGTTCCCAGGCTTGATTGAGTGTCCTGAGTCTCTTAATTCTTGGGTAGGTGGACTTTTTCTTTAAGAAATTTTATCTTCTAGAATCTAGATATGCATGTTGGTACCCCTGGTTAGTCTACTTCCATTGGTGGTTGCAGTCCACATGTTAGATCAGCACGACAAAGAAGGCCAGGAAGCACATAAACATTCTTAGGTGAACGTCTCTCTCTCCCCTCTCATTTTCCATCCATAATTTTTATTCAGAAATTTTTTTCAAGGAATCTTAACTAACAGTACTGTGAATGAATGAATAAATATAAGCTGCAGTGGACGTGTTTGTAAGATACTTTGTGATTTGTTTCTCTAAAACCAAGAATATTTTCAAGTTCATGTTTATCCTTTTCTGTGAATAGGCTCTAAACCGTTACAGGTATGATGCAGACGGACTCTTAACATTCTGTTTTATTTCATTGATATTTAAAATTTGAAAGTAAAAATATTTACGTCCCAATCTAGATTCAAATTATAAAATTTAAATAAGTAAAAGGAAATACGCAAATCAATTTATGTTTGATTGAGTTGAAGGGTCCTTTGAAATCACACCATCTCTTGTTCATAACATCTTACTCTAATATGCTTTCCATCCTTTTGGTATTTTGTTAAATACAATTCTTTCTTCAAAGGATGTAGCGCTTATCATCGCATAACCCTTTTTATTTTGATGAAACAGTTAATTTTTTTTTTGACCTAATTTATGAAACCTGTTAATACTTATAATTTAATTTCCTCAATTTTTTTTTTTTTTCTTTATAGATAGTTGGTTGCCACTTTAGGTCTATTCCAGTGAATGAAAAAGACACCTTAACATATTTCATCTACTCAGTGAAGAATGACAAGAACAAATCAGATCTCAAGGTTGATAGTGGTGTTCACTAGGAGAGATGGAATTGAGACTAAGACTTGGATGTTCAGATGCTAAGACTGTTTACTGTTTTTTCACATGTAGAAATGTTTCTTGTGTATTTTTTCTACAGAGAATTTTCTCTGGTTTTATTTTCTTTCTTTCTGACTCTAATAATTACCTGGAAACTCATGTAAAATGAGCTTTCCTGGATTAAAAAGTATTTTAAATAAAGGTTATTACTATTATAGTTGCTTCAGTGTATTTATTTTGTGAAACTTGATTTTTCTTTCAAACTGAATTTTAGGGACGAGTACTAATTGAGATTTTAATGTAAAGATTTTCATTTTGTTACTTCCCCTTTTTTTTTAATTCCAAGAAGTTAACAGGTTAAAAAGAAGTAACAAATATAGCACATTTGCTTTCTCTGGGATAATCAGATTTGGAATCAAAGATATCCTACATAGCGTTATTTTTTAAAGTGGTTTATAGAGCTAGCATGTTTGAAAAATAGATTTCCACTGGGATACGACTTCTTCCTTATTTCCTTTTTTTAAAATTTTTATTACTCGATGAAGTATCAGGAAGAACAAATAGTTTTGTTTATATGCATACCTCCTTACAAAGAAGACAATGTGCCAGCAAAGATAAACACAGTGCTTACAGTTGAAATAAGAGCATAGAACTAAGTAGTTGTGTCTTAAATTCTGTCTTACCGAAAATATATGGCATTAATATAGAGAGTACTTCTGTAATAACCCTTAGTTTTCAGTCATGTCTTGTACTGTTTACATTGCAAATTAAAAATAGTAAGTTGAGATCTAAAAATCTACCAAGATCTTCATTTAAATTTTGGTCATACATAGCTCTTACTTGATTTATATTTTCTTTTTGTATTTCATTCTCTGTCAGTTTTCTAGTAAACATTTTTTTAACTTCTGCATTTCCTGAGATTATATTGTTTAACCAAATTCTTATTACAAATCAAATTTATAGGTTGTGACATGAAAAAAAAAGGAAAAAACCTGTCTTCACTGAAATGTTCTGAGATTCTGTTACAGATTTCAGGCTTGAAGTAGAAGAGACCATTATGTAGCTCACTCAAAGTTTCTCGAGGTTGACATTTTGGGCCTGGATAATCCTTTGTGTGGAAGGCTTAGCATGGTGTCTACTCACTAAATGCCTGTAGTGCCCCAAAGGTGTGACAACCAAAAATGTCTCTGAACATTGCCATATATCCCCTGCGAGGCAAAATTGCCCCTGGTTGAGAATCCACTGTTGTAGTTAAATCTAAAGCTCTGGTTCATTAGAAAGTAAGCTCTTATTTTATAGTGTTCTGAGTGTATTGACAACTAGAAAATAAAGTAAACAATAAGCAACTGGTCTGTGTTCTTGCTATGGCCATTTAAAGTCTATTTGCTACTTTACTGATGAGCAGAGGCTGTGGTGATTGGTATTACAGAAGGCTTATATCTCTGGTATCCCAGAAATCCCTGTGAGAAGTTGTTTCTTGGCTGTGCCAAAATGAATCACATAGCTACAACATGGGGGGTGGTGGTGGTTTCATTTGAAGAAAGTATTACTTCCATATTTTATATTTTTACCTAAACTATAAAGACTTTAAATTTTAAGTACTTGTCTGTAGCTTACTTTTTCTTATAAAAGTACACTCCTTTCTTGTGAAAAAAGCTTGAAATTACTTGCTTACAATTAAGTGTTTTTGAATATAATCTTTGTCTAGCAATGTGAGTTTCATATAATTATTTGTATAAAATGTAGTGGTATAAAAGGTGAAAGAATAAGAGTTTGGGTGGTAATTATCCACTGAAATTAAATAATTGTTACAGCAATTTAAAACATGAAATGTGAGATCTTATAAGTTGAGAACTTCTAGAACATTTACCACAGCTGGGAAACAGAAGCTGAGATGTAAAAGTCAAGTTTTATTTAAAAATTTTAATTCTGTGCTATTGGGATTTTTAAATAAAATGAATTCACTAGAAACCTTTTCACTCATCTATATTTGAAGAAGAAAATAAATAGAAACTTGTATTTCTATACTTGTCATGTTAGAGCATCAGAAGAAGAATCCAAATTAGACTACCATTGGGATGCGAGGAAGAAATACAGTGAATGTGTAGCACAGGCTCAAAAACTGAGTTATTTGGTAACTACCTTTTACTGAGAGACAGTGAAAGGCTAAACAGTAATGCCTGAAATATATTTCCTTAAAAAAAATTCTCTATATTACTTCTACATGAAGTTTTGATAGCAAAATTCAGATTAGGCTATCTAGGCAAGCGATGGTGGTCAAAAATAACTTTTTACCATTTTACTGCTTTTTTATTTAATGGTGTTAGTTTTAAAATGTCAAGGTCTTATAAAAAGAAGTTATTTCCTATTGCTGCTGCTTTGGCATATTTCTCATCAATATATACGTATTTATTTCTCATTTATCAATTATGAGTGCTGTTTACTACAGAGTTCATTCTTTTGGGATTATGCAGTTCCTTGTATTCCTTTCTAGATAAAAGCTGATGCTTGCTATCATCTTGAGTTTGTATTATGTCATATCCTATTTTCATTAATAGCCTACCTGTTAGACTGTGGCCTTCAAATAATAGTCATATTATCTTAATTGCTACTAGACTACCATATATGTATTTTAGGACAAGTACCCCTAATACCCAACGTATTTATCTTTTTATTTCTAAAAACCTCTGGAAATAAGGATCACATATACTCTCTTTTGTTGAAAATGACTAGGTTTATGTTTATAAAATTCTTAGGATATATAGGCTACATACGTGCCACACATTTCTCTCTAGATATACCGCCACACAAAGATGAGCATATCGTGATAACATTCTGTAGTAGTTTATTGAGAAATTGAATTCTGTGCCAGTTTACTATAATTTTCTATTACCAGTTTTTCCTCAAAACTCAGAGAGAAGCTTAAGCTTAGGCTGTCAGCTCAAGATTGATTTAGAAATACATGTATTTTTTTCCTGTTGGGAAAATTATTTTAAAGCCTGTAGTGCTTACTTATAGGATTATTTACATTTTAAAAGCAACTGCCAAAATCTTTTGCAAAACGATTTATTATGGAAAGAACTCATATGTACCTGTACCATTATAAGAAAATTAAAGTCACAAAATGAGCTGTGAATGTTCCTATTTGTCCTTCCCTTTCTCCAATATTTGTTACTCATTGTTCTGGTTTGCCATGTTGCTTCCAGTTCTCTAATAATACTTTAGGATCAGTAACCACTGTGCCACCAGGGCATCTTTTACTAATCCTAGCAAACAAAAATGATCAAGGAGTCCCTATGGATTATTATGAGGAAAAGAAAAATTTTATCAAGAAGGGATAAGCTATTAGTAAGTATTACTGTCATCTTTGTACTCAGTACTGGGGGATTCACAATAAGAACAAAGATACAGACAAAGATAAAAATATGGAAATGATTATTTAGTAAGCTTTTAACATGTATGAAATAACTGAAAAATACAATTGTGTGTCCCATCCAAATAAAAGTTTGCTTCCCTAAAAAGGAAATAGATTAGTTGATGCTATTAAACAAAGAACATAATTGTTATGAGTCTAGATTCAAGAGTAAGACTTGCCATATTCAAAACCTGACTCAATCTCTCATTGATAATGTAACCTTAAACAAACTACTTAATCTTTCTAAACCTTTGTATTTTTGTCCATAAAACAGGGAGAATGATAATACCTACCTCATTCAGTTCGAGTAAAACAGTGTTTAGAACAATGCCTGGCACATAGTAAATTTTTTATAAAAGCTTAGTTGTCGTTTCTTGTAGCTATATTGGAAAAATAAAGGATCTATTCATTAATATGATTGAATGAAATATTTGCTTTTAAGAACATATTTACCAAGTCAGAGACAGAAAAGGTTACATAAGGTAAGTTGTGTGAACATTCATGTTTTTATGTTTAACAATTTAGGAAACACTTTTTTGGTAATGTGATTAAATTTCATATTACAAAGTTGATTTCCAGAAAGGATAGGATATGATGAAGAGTGATCATCATAATCTATAAATTTCCATTTATGAAATATTAGCTTTTTTTCAAGTACTATTTTTCTCATCAGGTTTTAATTGCCTGGAGGTAACTCTTATTAAAAAGCCGTTGTTGCCTCACATATGCCTTCATGGTGATGAAATAGAGATACTGAATCTTTAACATATTTTTCCTCAGGGAGAGTCTATATGACGTATAAAAGGAAACAGGTTAACTGATAGGTTTCTGTATTTCCCTTTCCATTGACTGTTCCAGAAAGGATATGAGACTTGTATTATTGTGTTAATCTGTTTTTAATACCAGTCAATTCAGTGAAGAAAAAAAATCCAGTGGAATCACATGCTATGTTGATGAAGCAATTTGATCTTTTGACAGTTCCACTTCCTCACGCACATGGTAGGAGATCATACTATTTGATAAACAGGTTCTGACTTGTGTTTGTATCTATCTTTAGAGGAACTGAATTCTGACGACCTAAAATTGTTTGATCGAGTCTAGTAATACTGAAAACAATATATACCAGATACTGTTCTGAGTGTGGTCTTCAGAAATGAATCAGGGATCTCAGAGGATGTATTTCAATGGAGTAGTGTCATTTTTACTCACACGTGTTATCTCCTAGGTTGACTGCTTCTCAACTTTTCCCCACAACAATACTTTATATAGCATCCTATACTTCTCGTCTGTAGCAGGCTTCACATTTATAGATAATTATTTGCTTGTAATTATTACACTTCTGTTAGAATACAAGTTCCCAGAGGACAAGTCCATTTTATTCAGAAATTACCTCCACGAGTAAATGCATCCCTCTTAAAGACTGGGGGCATAGTCCAAAGATGCCTCTAACAATCCAAAAATGTCTTTAAAGGCACCAGTTTTATTTGTTTTTAAAATTCACGTTAACTTTTTGATTCTCATCTGTTATATATTTCTTTTAATATAACATGTGTTTTGTTATTCTCAAGACAAACTGCTACTCATGGATAGGTATCATGGTTTGAAGCACAAAGCTGTATGTGTGTGCAAATGCATATATAATGGGGGTGAGGAAACTTGAGGTGTGGTAGTTAAGAGTTTTTCAGTTTTAGATGTAGGACTGTTGGAAAGAATATGGGCTTTGGGATTAGAATTTTGTTCAGATTATGCCTTGATGTTTTAGCAAATGTCTTAAACTTGAGTTAGCATCTGATAAATGGGGCTGAGAATACTTACCTTGATGTCGTTTTTAAGAGGTTGAAATGAAAACGTACTTAAGGTACTTGGCACACATAATATATGTTCAAACATTGGCTCTCTTTTTTCTTCTTACTAGAAAACTTCTAGTTTTCCTCCCAGGAACCTCAATTTATACTTAATTCTGTTAAGTATACATTGTCAATAACTGTCAACCAAGAACTCAAAGTGTTCTCAACCTTTGAGCCAAGATTCTGGCAACTCAACTAAGAGAAAAAAATGATTCTACAGATTGTAGTGAACAACCTTGTAGAAGAAAAATTTCCAGCCAAAATTTTCGAACTAGTGCCAATAATGTCCACAGAGAAAAAAATTAAATTGAATTAACTTTTATTATTGCTTGTTAAACACTGGTTTACTTGTCCTGGACAAGTAAGAATTTATAGAAATCTGTGCTCTATTGCACTAGATAGAAATTACAAATGCAATTACACTGGTATAGTGCAGTTTGTGGAAAATTAGGGATGGTGTTCTCCAGAATACATGAAGATTCTCATTGGTTGTTGCAAGGAATCACGAAAGAGATCTTTGGTCCAAAGAAGATATCTCTGAAAGAAATTAGAATAATAGTTAAATTCAGCTGGAAGCTAAGCTATCTGTTAGTCTTCTCTGGGTTAAAAATGGACAGTGATTTCCAGGATTTCAGATATGACTATTCTTTTTAGGTGAATAAAGTACAAAGAGAATGAGTGAGAGGACTTGCCACAGAAGCAACAAAGACCAAGAAGGTAATCGATTCTTCTGCTTTTCCCCCATTTCCATTGATAATATGCTATCATTTATCAATAAAGGACTGGAAAGATTAGGTAATCTCAAAACTTCATCATCGTGTATACAGCTTAATTTGTCTGACGTGGGTGGAGATGGGGCATGAAGTATGCCCATCTGCAAGTAAGAAAGAGAAGACTGAAATTTTCTTAGGAAACTCAGTAAATAAAATTCTAAGTTATATAAAGGAGAAATGTTAAAAAGCCACTCAACTGTCTTCTGGCTGGAAAGATCATATAAGGTAACATGTATAAAAATGCATGGAATAATAATAACATTTTATACATGTGCAAAGTGGTATTATGATTATAACTAATTAGAAGTATAATTAGCAAGGTAAATCTGTTGCTACTGGGAAAGTGGTATCCCAAAATCAAATAGAAATTACTTTTGTATATCCAAGTTGCTATACTCATCCATTCACATGGCTAATCACAAAATTATAAGATAAATACAAGTCCATTTCAGTAAATTGGTTTCAGTATTTTAATATTAGATAGCATTTCATTGATGTGGGCCAGGGAAAATTAAGTCATTTCATGTGACTAAAATTCTTGGTGTCAAAGGTTAGTACAGTGATTCTCAGAATCACTGGAGGGTTTGTTAAAACATAGATGGCTGGGACCCACCTCTAGAGTTTCTGATTCATTAGGTCTGGGGTGGGGCTCAAGGATGTGCATTTCTAACAAGTATTTAGGTGATGCTGATGCTGGTCTTCTGGAAACCACATTTTGAGAACCATTGGTTTGGTAGGAAAAAATTAATCCACATCGGAAAACCTGGGTACTAGTCCTCATACTGATATTAGCTAGTTATATGGAATAGTGCAGTTGCATCTTCCCTTACTTAGATGGTGATATTTGCCTTTCTTATCTCACGGGATTCTTAGAAGAATGAAAATATGATGGCAAGCATTGAAAGTAATTTGAAAAAGCTAATTTCAGTATGAAATATCCAAAATCACAATCTTTGAAAGATTCCTCAATAATCAGAAAAAGATCATTTTAAAACCAAGAGCTAAAAATATTTTTGGATTCATCTACTATCGCAGTGGTTAAGAGCTCGACTCTTAACCAAAAGGTCAGCAGTTTGAATCCACCAGCGGCTCCTTGGAAACCCTACAGGGCATTTCTACTCTGTCCTATAGGGTCACTATGAGTCAAAATCGACTCAATAGCAACATGTTTGGGTGTTTTTTTTTTTTTTGGACTGTTGTTTTATACTTAAATTATGCCACTTTAGAAGTCAGTGAATGACTTTTATTGAGCTCATTTCTGGTTAATTTACGCGTGGAGCTACGAGGCTTTTCTTTTACTATTACTAAACTTTTCTGTCCAGCAAATTGTAGGTAGTCCTCGACTTATGACATATTTGAGTGAAACCATGAACCGCACTTACGACCATCTTTTTTTTTTTGGTACACCGTATCATTAGTAACATGAACGACATACAGTGTTGCAGCACATAACTTGCTGATGTCATCATTCTCATGCCAACACCCAAAGACAAATGTTGGATTTATAAAGATACTGATAATAAAAGGCAATAATAATGAAGATTAAGGAAAAAATTAAAAATTAAGAAAAAAATTTAAAAAACTAACTTACAATGGAGTCAACAGACTGGAACCCTGCCGTCGTAAGTCGGGGACTACCTGTACTTGATCCCATCTAAAACCTTTTATTAGTTTACAAATTGGTTTAAGATGGTAACCTTGAGGTTGAGTTCTTCTACTAGTAGATTTTTTTGTGGTTAAAAATCTATTAAATTCTAAATTCCCCATCAGATTAAAAATCTGATGGGGAATTTAGAATTTAATAAACTGGAGTGTTATTAATTTTTAGGATTTCACTTAATGTTATTAAACTCTGTCAAACTCCCTTTCTTAAATGAAAATATTCAATTCCTTACACAATGGTGAAAATTCCAGAAAACAGGTGGGTTTTGAACAGTAGTTTACTAAAAAGGTGATTAATTTCAGCAAACCCCTTATGAAGGTGACTTTTAAAAAGCTATTATCTATACATTCCATAGCCATGTGTTTTATGATTGCATTTTCTTACTTTGGGCAGCAGAGCAATTCGCTGAAATTGCAGTAACAGATCATCTCACATCCCTTCCCATTCCAGAAATGATTCTGGACGTTTGCATCAATCTGTGTCAGGTCAGCTACTCCTTCTGGAAGGTTGTGACAATTGCCATCTTTTAGTATCTTTCTGTAGCAAGACAGGCGATTTGCAGGCATGGCTTGGCCTCCTAGCAGCAGAGTCAGCCCAACAGTGACTACAAGTACCATAAATTTCATTTTGGCTTTTGGCGCTGCGATAGAAGAAAAAACAAAATATGTCATTATTTGTCTTGCTAAAAAATGGAATCCATCTGAACGTAAAGTTGTATAGCATTCTTGTAAACTCTTAGATAGAAAGAATGGAGTTGGTCTTTTCTATTCTCCTCTTTGAATGCGTTTTTGAATGCGTTTCTCTAAGTGTACTCTTATGACCGCCTACAATAAAAATCACTTGGAAGATTTGTTAAAAATCAAATACCTAAGCTCCACAAAGAAATATTAAATGAGAAATGCTGCCGGGGGAGGGGGGCGGTGGTGGTGTAAGAGCCAGAATCTGCATTTAATAAGTACCCAAGTAATTTTTTTTTTTTTTTGTATATTCAGTAGAGAGTAGCTACTTTGTAAGGTGGTATAAACTCAGGTAAATTTCTAGAACAAATAGCATTGTTGAGTACAGTGATTCTTGAGCTTGCATATCTTACATCCTAACTACAATGTTGTCATAGAACCTGGGTCCCACCCTGACAGAAACAAAAAGCCCATTTATGCTGACACTGCCAGATATATATTCCGTAGATACATTTATAGTTCACATAAGTTTCACAAAACTTTCAGAATTATTTTTAGGAACCCCCCCCTTTTTAGGCAAATTTTGAGTAATGTGAATTTTTATCCCATATACACTACTTTATTTTGAAAACAGAAGTTCAAGTTCCCCCTAATAATCATCTGCCCTGTTCTTGAACACTTACGAAACCATCACCACAAGCAAGATAGTGAACATATCCATCATTTCTAAGTTTCCTCATGCCCCTTTGGGACCCACCCCGCTTCTTCCACTCCCACTCAAGCATCCACTGGTCTGCTTTCTGTCACCACAGATTACTTTACATTTTCTGGAGTTTTATATAAATGGAATCACAAAATATGTACTTTTTTTTTTAACCTGGTTTCTTTTACTCAGCATACTTATTTTGAGATTTATCCATACTGTTGCATGTATCAATAACTGACTCTAAATAATCTGAAACTGAAATGTATTTATCAATTTCTGTTTTTTTTTTTTGTTTTGTTTTGTTTTTGGTCAAAACTAGCATTTACTCTGCTCAGCTAGCTCGTACCTGACTTAAAAAAAGTGTGTGTGTGTGTGTGTGTGTTTTAAAAGATTCAGTAACAATAGCAAACACTACCTGCCTTTTCTCTAACCTTTCTCTCCAGCTCCCTCTCTATCAAAGAGTTGGGAGAGTAAGGTAGAGTTGTACACTCTTTTTAATCTCAATTTTTCCTAATGCATTTGAAGAATTTTTCTGTTATTTTAGGTGTTTGGCATTTTTCATCTTTTACAGCTTTGATCTTTCTAGTATTTTTACTATGAAATCATGTTCTTATTTTTAGTATTCTAGGTTAATTTGACCTAATTTTTGTGGCTTTTATAGAGTCATGCATTTAGCTAGCTTGAACTCTTAGTACCTGTCTTACTGCTTCTGAATATTGGTGTAGTTTGTTCCTGAGCTCATTTCACGACTGTTAACTGCTGAAACTATCTTTCCATTAGATGGTTCTTACTTACAGCCATAAACCTGACAGGATATTTCTTAAGAAAAGTACTTTTTCTTAAAAAAAAAAATACATACTCATGGTAGAAATGGGGATAATACAGGAAAGCATCTCTAGAATAAAATTCAACTAGAGTATTAATGTAGAGTGATTTTTTGTTAACATTTTGGTGTGTTTCTTTTTGGTATGCATAGATGAGCTACACAGTAATACTGTGAGTTTTCACTGAACATTGTATCTTCAGCATAATATTAGCATTCTTAAAAGTGTATATTCTTAATCATGCTGACTTATAGCTATTTAGATCTTGAGCTTGATCTTTTTTTGTTAGTGTTACATATTCTTCGTTTTATAAAACAATGGTGATTGGAGGTGGTAGATGTTTGCTCTTCTTTACGCTGAGCTTATGTCTTACACACATTGGTGGCTTTCAAATATTCTTTCTTTTATGAAATGATACTGATTAGAGGCGACAGGCATTTTCTTAAGTCCCTTTACTTAGAAAAAGAAAAAAAGAAAGTTGGTAACCTTATTTTCGACCTTCCTACTTTTCTTGAATTGTGCAATTCAGTGATTTTTAGTAAAATCCTTATGTATGATCACTGTAATCCAGTTTTAGAACATTTCCATCACCCCCAAATTTCCCTCATGCCTGGTTGCTGTTAATCTCTGCTCCCACGCCTAGAGCGGGGTAACCGCTGATGTGCTCTGTGGACATTCCGTATAAAATGGATAATATACTCTGTAGTCTTTTGCGTCTGGCTACTTTCACTTAGCATAATGATTTTGAGGTTCTTAGGTGTGGTAGTACATATCATTATTTTTTCCTTTTCGTTTCTGAATAGTACCCCATTGTGTGGAGCCCTGGTGGCATAGTGGTTAAGAGCTTGGCTGCTAACCAAAAGGTTGGCAGTTTGAATCCAGCAGCCGCTCCTCGGAAACCCTGTGGGGCAGTTCTACTCTGTCCTGTAGGGTCGCTACGAGTCAGAATCTACTCGACAGCAACAGGTTTGGTTTTGGTTTTGGTATGGATATACCACATTTTTAGTTCTTTTGCATTTGTTACCAACCCCATAACGTGACAGCACTCTCCCTTCTTGACTTTGGGTTCCCTATTACCAGCTTTCCTGTCCCCTCCTGCCTTCTAGTCCTTGCCCCTGCTTAGTGTGCCCCTTTAGTCTTGTTTTGTTTTATGGGACTGTCTAATCTTTGGCTGAAAAGTGAACTTGAGTAGTGACTTCATTACTGAGCTAAAAGGGTGTCTGGGGGCCATACTCTCAGGGTTTCTCCAGTTTCTGTCAGACCAGTAAGTCTGTGGTCTTTTTTTTGTGAGTTAGAATTTTGTTCCACATTTTTCACCAGCTCAGCCCGGGACCCTCGGTTGTGATCCCGGTCAGAGCAGTCAGGGGTGGTAGCTGGGTACCATCTAGCTGTGCTAGATTCGGTCTGGTAGAGGCTGTGGTAGTTGTGGTCCATTAGTCCTTTGGACTATTCTTTCCCCTGTGTCTTTGGTTTTCTTAATTCTCCCTTGCTCTAGACGAGGTGGGACCAGTGGAGTATCTTAGGTGGCCACTCACAGGCTTTTAAGACCCCAGATGCTACTCACCAAAGTAGAACGTAGAACTTTTTCTATATAAACTATGTTATGCCATCTGAGCCAACACCACGGTCCCCACAGCCAATTCTACATACCGCGTTTTTTAAATCGATTCACCAGTTGACGAACATTTGAATTATTTCCAGTTTTTGGCTAAGATGAATAAAGCTGCTATCAACATTTGTGGACATATGTTTTTACTTCTCTTGGATAGATTCCTGGGTTATATGTGTGTGTATGTATGTATATATATATTTGTTTAAATTTTTAAGAAACTGCCTAACTGTTTTCCAATGTGGCTGTACATTTACATTCGTACCAGCAATGTATGAGGGTTTTAGCTTCTCTACATCCTCACCAACACTTGATATTGTCTGCCTTTTTCATTATAGCCCTTCTAATGGATGTGTAGTGGCACATCATTGTGGATTTAATTTGAATTTTCCTAATGACTAATGATGTTGAGTATGTTTCATGTGCTTATTAGCTTGAGTTTGATCATTTTTTAATTGTTTCCTCTAAGCTTCCATCTACCTTTATGTCCCAAACCAATTCTTACTATAAATGGAAATCAGCTCTGATAAACCAGCTACCTTATTTCTTCTTACAGTGTGTTTCAGTACTAAGCAGTATGCGTCTGGCTGATGATCTGTGACCCCACCCACCCTCCACCCACAAACCCCAAAGCATCAGTAGTTATGGGATCCTGACCAAAAGCCATGGTTAAGCACTCAAAAGACAGTCTCATTCGCTGTCATTTATTTTGCAAAAGAGTACCACTAAAATGTCACCTTTATTTTTAGAAACATTAACTTTAACCTTGGTACGTGTAACATTTGCCTAGAGGTTGTTAAGATGGAGAAAATGAAATGGCTGGCAACAGAACACAGGGAAACTAACATTTATGGACTGGGTAGAAGATAGGTCAGAGAAAGAGATCACAAACCAGAGAAGGAGGCTGAGAAGGAAATACAAGGCAGTACAGTAATGAGAGTAGGGGGAAAGGATGAGTGATTGGGAGGCCGAGCCATGTTTAGACAAACTCACCTTAAAGAATGGTATTAACTGAGGTTCATTCCTCAGAGTGTCTCCACCCTCAGCATCTCAGCTACATAAAAGCAGATGAATTCAAAATCCATATACAGTACCACTACTTCCTGACCTCCCTTACAGTCTTGGGTCTCTCTTATTTACATGATATCCCCACTCAGACAATGATATTTAGCATTGTTAAAATATCAAATTACAGGATAACAAGTAAATTTGAATTTCAGATAAACCATGAATAATTTTTTTAGTAAAAATAAGTCCCAAATATTATATAATTTTCTACCTCTTGAGTTATTTTTGACAATTTATACTTTGCTAAAAAATAACCCATTTTACCTACATTTAAAAATTACAGTAGAGATAGATTTAGTTTTTCTTTTCTATTTTTTATTGTGATTTAGGAGAACGTTTACCGAGCAAATTAGTTTCTCATTAAACTGTTAATACACAAATCGTTTTGTGACATTGGTTGCCAACCCCATGATGTGTCAATACTCTCCCATACTCCACCCCAGTTTCCTTGTTTCCATTTGTCCAGTTTTCCTGTCCCTTCCTGCCTTTTTGCCTTTGTTTTTGGGCTAGTGTGCCCATTAGTCTCGTGTACATGATTGAACTATGAAGCATGTCCCTCACGTGTGTTATTGTTGGCCCTATAGACCTGTCTAAATCCTAGTGGCATAGTGGTTAAGAGCTATGGCTGCTAACCAAAAGGTTGGCAGTTCGAATCCACCAGGTGCTCCTTGGAAACTCTATGGGGCAGTTCTACTTTGTCCTATAGGGTCCCTATGAGTTGGAATCAACTGAATGACAGTGAGTTTGTTGTTGTTT